TTCCAGACACACATGTTTCCATACCATAAATTCCACACTATAATTATGTTTCTGTTGTTGTTAGATAGTTTTCCACATATACTGTCAAAGGCTTTCAAAATTTTCATGGAAAGACCATACTTGTAGGCCATTTCAATGTTCAAATATATCCAAATGTACTTAACTAATTGTTGCTTGATAGACATTTCAATTATTAATATTGTGAATGACTTTGCAAGGAATAAATCTGTAGCATGAATCCAATTATTTCCTTAGAATAAATTTCTATACATGGAACTGCTAGGTCAAAGCATATAAACATTTGAAATTTGAATACATGTTTCTAAATGTCTCCAAAACATTATGCCAAATTTCACTTATTGTGTGTTCAAGTGCTTGTTTTCCTCCATGTTTACCAGCACTGATTTTTTTTAAAAAAATATTTTTGAGATGTCATAAAATTACTTGTTTTATTTATATGATTCAATGATTTTTTAATATAAATTACAGCATTAGAACATTTCCAGCACCCTCAAATGGTCCCTCCTGCCCGTTTGTAATCATTTCTCACTCCCAGCCCAGTGCCTGGCAACTATTAATCCACTTCTGCCTCTGAAACTGTGCTTTGATTGGATATTTCATAAAAATGGAATCATACACTATGTGTCTTTGGTGTCTGACTTCTTTCACTCAGCATGTTTTCAAAGTTCTTCCATGTTGAAGCATGTATTAGTGCCTCATTCCTTTTTTACTGCCAAACAGTATTCTTAATAAATACCAAAAAGGGGAAAAAAAAATCTTCCCATTCATAATAGGAAAGATTGTGAACACTCATCTGTAGCACTCACCCTGGAAAAGAATTCTAAAGACACTGCTTAGGATGGAACCACAATAAGACCCAGCTATACCACTCTTTGGTATTTTTTTTTTAAAGAATTAAAGTCAGCATACTATAGTGATACATATATACCCATGTTTATTGCAGCACAATTAACAATAGCCAAACTACATAACCAGCCTAGATGTCCATTAATAGATGAATGGATAAAGAAAATGTGGTCTATATACACAAGGGAGTATATTCAGTCAAAAAGGAAAATGAAATTATGTCATTTGCAAAAACAATGTATGAAACTAGAGACCATTATATTAAGCAAAATAAGCCAAACTCAGAAGGTTGTATGTTTTCTCTTATATGGGGAAGTTAGAGAAGAAAAAGGAAAAGAAAGGTGAGGGTCAGGGCAGGGATCTCATGAAAATCCAAAGGAGATTAGTAGAGTACAGAAAAGGCTTTAAGGGGTGGGAAGAGGTGAGGGAAGAAGTGCTGGGAAGTGATATGGGCCAAATTATATCATTACACTGTGTGTACATGTAAATATATCACAACAAAATCCCATCATTGTGTATAACTGTAATGCAACAATAAAAAATGTGGAAACAGAAAAAAAAAAGACAATGTTTAAGGAAGTAAGTGCCATTCCTTAACCCTTATTCTGGCTTTTGGTAAGAGCTTCTCTGACCATTTGGCGTCAAGTTTGGGGGCTCAGGGATGATTCTGAGACTTGAACAGTCAAAGGCTTTCAGTCCAGGCTCATGATATTTTGGGAAATATGCTTTTGCCTAGTAGGCTTCTAATCCAGTAGCTTCTACTCAGTTCCACAAGCCAGGAACCCCAACCAGTTTCCTCCTTAAACGTAATTATCAGTCCTGATTTTTTTCCCTTCCCTCCTCACCCTTACGCATCATCCACGTACACACAGTTTAGTGCTAGCATCCTTGAAGTCATTCAGTTTGAGAAAAGGTTATGCTCTTGATTTGATTTTAGCAGAGGGCATTCACTGAAAGACATTTTCCATCATTTCATTTCCTTTTTAAAAAAACTTTCAAAGTCGTTGATGCCATAAATTTCTTCCTGTATATATTTCTTTTAATTTCTACTTGAAAGCCAGCCATCTATGTCTAGACTTATTTTTTTCCTTCTCATACGCTCCTCATAGAATCCAGTAACAATCAATATGGATCACAAAATTCTGTTTTCCATTCTTTCCCTGAAGCCACAGGCTCTCTAAGTGCCTGATCTGCCTCCAGGCAATCTCTAGTGACAGTATTAGGTATATTTTACTGCTGTGTTACATGGGTTTCTATCTTCCCATCCTCTGATATTAGTTTCCTTACTACACAGTGTGGTTTCCACATAGCTTAGGTTTTGATTAGAGAGTAGAAGTACCACCTTTCAGATGTCACTGTTCCTGTTATGCTAGTACTAGAGGAATGAGCCCCCAACCTTGGTAGCTCAACATAGTAGAGTTCATCTAAACATTTAGAGGCAGTGGAATTAGGGATATTCTGCTCCAGGATTCCTTTTGAAATTGTGTGAAAGGTGCTCTGCTATCTTTTACAAATGTCTTCTAAGCTTACCCTGCGTCTTCAGGCCAGCAGCAGAGAAGGCAAGAGAGACTTATCAGGTCAGAGGTGTCTCTGGCCCAGCCCTTGAAGCACTGTACTCCACCCATCTCATCACCTCTGCCCACATTCCTTTCAAAAGAATTCATTGTTGTGATCACAGAGAGCTGTGAGGGAGGTTGAGAAATTTGCTCATCTCTATGCCCAGAAGGAAAATTGAATGAGATTGGCAGTTAGCTGGTGTCTACCATTATGTCATGTTCATCCTGATGTCATTGAAAGTCACAAAAAAATAAATATGTAAATAAACAGAACACTAAAAATACAGCCATGGATGTACAGGAATATTACAGAGCAATTAAAATGGGGTTTATTGAGAAATTCAATCATATAGGAAAATGTTGATGGGGGTAGGACACAAAGTTTCATGTATAAAATGTGTATATTTTCAAAAGAGAGCAGTAAAATTACTGGAAGAAAATGTACAAAAGCAATAATGTCTATAACCTGTATGGCAGGATTGTAGGTTTGTCAATTTTTTCTTTGTACGATTCTTATTTTTCAAATTGCTTACATTATACAAATTCCTTACAAAATACCATTATAATCAGAAATAAAATAAACATTCTTCTAAAACATAATCAATTCATAGCAATATCTATATCTTCTAGTACTCTAATCACCTCAAATGTCAACATCTTTAATAATAAATTCAGGAAAATAACATAATAAAGTATCATGTCTTTATCCCTAATGAAATAGAAATCAATAACAATATTATCTAATTACATATTCCAGAAAAGTACTCTGAGATCGATAAGACTCATGCAATTTCTTCAAAGATGACATTCCTCTAGGAATAAAATTTTTACTTATATTTTCCTACCTACATGTCTTCTGTTTTTTAGTTTTTAATTTCATTGGAAAAATATCGGATCTACTTTGGGGGAGAAAAATATCTTATAATGTACTAGTTTGATCTTTTTCTCCTTCTCTCTCTCACTTTTGATCTCTCAGTCTCTCCCTCTTTTTCTCTCTCTCTGCAACATATAACCCATAAAGAAACATTTCCCCTAGCAGCTAGCACAAGATGCTTGTTACTCATCAAGGGGTTTTTTGTTTGTTTGTTTGTTTGTTTGTTTGTTTGGCTGGTTGGTTGGTTTTGGGGACCAGTGCTTGAACTCAGAGGTAATTAACAACTGAGCCACATCTCCAGCCCTTTTTATGTTTTATTTAGAGACAGGGCCTTGCTAGGTTGTTTAGGACCTTGCTAAATTGCTTGAACTTGTGATCCTCCTGCCTCAGCCTCCTGAGCTGCTGGGATTACAGGCATGTTCCATGGTGCCCAGCTCATCAAGTTTCTCATATGTAAAAGGCACTGTAGGAAGAAATCATGTGCAACGCATGATGTGGTGATGATTTTTTACTACAGAAAGTACTTTTCACTCAATATTTTTTTCTGTTTAGAAATGAATTCTAATCATTCTGTCTCCTCACTCCCACTTGTGTTTACATGATTACTTTCTATTATAAGTTTTATTTATGATTTGTTTTCTGTTTCAGAAAGAGGAAGGCAAAACTTTAAATCCCAGGTATCTTATTAAATGCCTTCATGATTATTTGGACTTATGAATATATTTTTATCTGTTTTCTGATGACGCTTACATGTACAGAGCGTAGTTTCAAATAGTAAAAGTTGTATGGACCTACTAATACAATTCCGGAATCAAATCTTTAATATTTTTCCAGGGATTATGAAGAAACTTATAATTGTGTTTTACTTTGGATTCACTCCATCTTTACTTTATCTCATATTAAAATGTAATCAAAATCAGCCTGTTTCCATTTGGTTGCAAATCCCTTCTTAAAGCACCTATTCAAAAGTCTCCCCAATTTTCATTTTCTCTGTCTTTTCTTATTATATTAAATCCTGATATCTGAAAATTGAACTATATAGTAGCATTGCTATGTTCTTTTATAAATACAGATCATATCTATTCTTCCTTATTTTTACATTATAACCATGCTTTTTAAAAAAATCCTTGACAGGTTGCAATTAGATCTCCAGTATGCCATTGTATTAGAGTAAACACTGTTATTATGGTAGATATAATTCACTTTGTTTGGTGTGTTGCTCAGATAGTCTGCTGAGATGCCTCTGATACCAAATGTCATTCCCATTCTTTAATTATAATTTTTAATCTTTCCTGGTTTACCATTCTTTCAGTAGATTAATTATTTTTATTCTAAAATTCAGAGATGGCCTGGGTTTAATAATGTTTATTAACAAGAATTATAATATCCCATTGCTTTTTTGTTTCCCTGTAGAAGAGTGGGAATAATTTCATTCATCCTAAACTCTTTGACCTGAGATACACTGGTGCACTCTACGGAGGAACAATTCAGATCTACTTAGCAGTTGAATGCATTTATGAAAGCAGTTGTTCTTTGTGTTCAATTAGTTGGTGGTCACCACATTAAAAGTCATGCAAAGACAGATCATTTCCTTTGTCTAAGGCTATTGTTTATATTCACATGGTAAGATTTTATTACCACAAACAAAATCTGAAGCATATATATATATATATATATATATATATGTGTGTGTGTGTGTGTGTGTGTGTGTGTGTGTGTGTGTGTATCTCACAGCCATAATAAGATGTAAGCCCTACAAGGACAGGAACAGTATCTATCAAGCTTACCACTAAATCCCCAGGACATACCATAATGCACTGACATATAATAGGTGCTCATTGAATGTGTCAAACAGGCAAATGTGCACATAAATGACCCTTACTGGGATCGTGGGATTCAGTGTTTTTCTTTCTTGCTGTGTGCATGGATACTGCTTTAGCTAAGATTCAGCTCACTCTAAGCAAATCAGGAAGAGTGAGCAATGTGGTAGAAGTCAAAGGAGATGGATTTCACAATCTGCATTGGTGCTAACTCCAGTCCTGTGCTTCCTAATTGTGTGACTTAGGTCAAGTTGTTTTTCTCCCTTAGCTCTGACTGCTTTATATATATATAGTGGGGAAAGTAATGCCTACCTTCCAAATTCATTATAATAATTTTAAAAAGCATTATTTATTATTTATTAAAGTCACTGGTACCTAGTCTGTTTCAGCATTCATTGTCATCAGGTTTGGTGAGTAAATATTGGTAGCATATATACCAGTCAGCCATTGCTGTGTAACATAAGACTCTGAGCAGCAGGTAGGTCCAGGTATGCTCCATCTGTTTCTCATCTTTCTGGGCCCAGAGGGCTACCCAGAACATGCTTCTGTAGGGGTCTTAGTGAAGATAGAAAGGGTGAGTCTCACTGAGCAAGCATATCTCAAGCATGTCTTGTCATGTACATTAACATCACATTTACTGAAGCACGTCCTACATCAGCCCAAACTCAAGGATTGGTAGGTTTTTTTAAACCTACCAATCAGAGGAGGACATACAATCAATCAACAAGTACATGAAAAAATGCTCACCATCTCTAGCAGTCAGAGAAATGCAAATCAAAACCACCCTAAGATACCATCTCACTCCAGTAAGATTGGCAGCCATTATGAAGTCAAACAACAACAAGTGCTAGAGAGGATGTGGGGAAAAGGGTACTCTTGTACATTGCTGGTGGGACTGCAAATTGGTGTGGCCAATTTGGAAAGCAGTATGAAGATTCCTGGGAAAGCTGGGAATGGAACCACCATTTGACCCAGCTATTGCCCTTCTCGGACTATTCCCTGAAGACCTTAAAAGAGCGTACTACAGGGATACTGCCACATCTATGTTCATAGCAGCACAATTCACAATTGCTAGACTGTGGAACCAACCCAGATGCCCTTCAATAGATGAATGGATAAAAAAAATGTGGCATTTATACACCATGGGGTATTACGCAGCACTAAAAAATGACAAAATCATGGAATTTGCAGGGAAATGGATGGCACTAGAGCAGATTATGCTTAGTGAAGCTAGCCAATCCCTAAAAACAAATACTAAATGTCTTCTTTGATATAATGAGAGCAACTAAGAACAGAGCAGGGAGGAAGAGCAGGAAGAAAAGATTATCATTAAACAGATACATGAGGTGGGAGGGAAAGGGAGAGAAAAGGGAAATTGCATGGTAATGGAGGGAGACCCTCATTGTTATACAAAATTACATATAAGAGGTTGTGAGGGGAATGGGAAAATAAACAAGGAGAGAAATGAATTACAGTAGATGGGGTAGAGAGAGAAGATGGGAGGGGAGGGGAGGGGGGTAGTAGAGGATAGAAAAGGTAGCAGAATACAACAGTTACTAATAGGGCATTATGTAAAAATGTGGATGTGTAACAGATGTGATTCTGCAATCTGTATTTGGGATAAAATTGGGAGTTCATAACCAACTTGATTCTAATGTATGAAATATGATATGTCAAGAGCTTTGTAATGTTTTGAACAACCAATAAAAAATTTTTTTTTCTTAGTTGTAGTTGGACAGAATACCATTATTTTATTTTATTTATTTTTATGTGGTGCTGAGGATCGAACCCAGCGCCTTGCACGTGCTAGGTGAGTGCTCTACCTCTGAGCCACAATCCCAGCCCCAAGGAATGGTAGTTTTAAGCACTAATTCAACCTATACATTTCAATAACTAGAGGGAGGTGAGAGGCTTAGGTCTTTTCTCCCATACCCTTGCTACCAGTTGTGGTGACACCTAGTGAGTAAGTCTCAGATGGAATTCTGCCACACATACAAGGAAGGCACCATAGAAGCTGTCATAGAAACTCTTGTGTAAGCTTGACGATGTTCCAGATCTCTATCCCTTGAGGAGCTCTGATGAGTCCATGAATGAAAGACTAAAATCTTCCAAATCTGAATCTACTGGTTTAGTCAAAAGTCCAGGGTTCCATTCTGATGGCTGTCAGGCATGGGGCTGTGAGGTCCTTACACCAGTATGCACAAAAACAGGAATACTTGGGCAATATTCTCTGCAAAACCACCTTTATCATTGCCAATTTTATCTATAAATCATTTCTATTAAACATAAATGTATTTCTAAGAATATATCCATTTAGAAAACCTCTGGTATGGAGCAAAACCTAAGAAAACTGCTGGTGTGTTGCAGCAGCTCTCGCTTCTGGGAATGTGGGTCTCTGCCTTGTGTCTCTCTGACATCACATAACCACTCCCACAGTGCATTCCTAGTGGGGGTCCTCCAAAGCGTAAGCAGCTCATATTGTCCACCAATACTGTACACAGATATGAAGTCATTGTCTATATTAAGGTATCCTAACAGTGAGTTACAGAAAACACAAGCAGATGTCCCAAATGGTGTTCTGTCATCCTTGGAGAAAAGGAGGACAGGATGTTACTGCGTCCCTGAAGTGCCCTCCCTACTCCCAAGAACCTAGAGAACAATGAGAGTGAGTCATCCCGGCTGAAATGTCCAGACACACGTTATCTTGAAGGACACTGGCTTTCTCCCAGGTATGCTGGGAATTAGGGCAAGTTAGTGTTATCTGCAGCAAGCTGCTTTCTCCCATGCACATCAAAGCTGCTTTCTCCTGTGCAACCCAAGGTCCTTGGGATGCTGGTCATACAGTGGGAAAAGGCAAGCTAAACTGAAGTTGCTTTTGTTAGCCTAGAAAGCCCCATTCCCGGTGCTAACTGGTGTTGACCAAAGCACCATGGATAGGGAAGTGCTCATTCATCCACCCCTCCTAGCAAAGTGTTGTGGGGGATGGAGATGCTATTTTCTGGTGAAGCACTAGAGGCACTGTGTGAAACAGAGGTGCACCTGTCCAGCCATTGCCTCTGGATCTTCCACATAAGCACTTTTCACTGAAGCTTATGTCTCATATCCCACCTCTGGGTGTCTTCTTTGGTCTCTTGGCAACCCATCCACTGCTTTAGCACAACTGGACTGTGGATGGTACAAACGCTTATTGAGTAACTTCAACACCTGCCATTTTAAGTTTCTATTAGATTGTGTCTTTGTGATTCTGAAAAAAAAATTAGAATTCAATAAATACTTGTTGTTTAGTCTAAACACTATCAAACCACTATGTTGATATTTTAGTTATACTAAATTCACTTATTTGCATCCTAAAGGCAGGGTGAAACATCAGGCTCATAATGAATAAAATAGTCATAAAAATCATATTACAAAGTATGCCCATTAGACTTTATTCAGCTTTCACTTGAGAACAAAATGGCATTGGAAAATAGCATTCGTTTTTGTTTGTTTGTTTGTTTGTTTGTTTGTTTGTTTGTTTTGGTACTGGGGATTTAACCCAGGCACACTTTACCACTGAGCTACATCCCCAGCCCTTTTTATTTTTTTAATTTTGAGAAAGGGTTTCACTAAGTTGTTTAGGGCACAGCTAAGTTGCTGAGGCTGGCATCAAACTTGCAGTCATCCTGCCTCCACCTCCCAAGTCACTGGATTACAGAAGTGCGCCACCACGCCCAGCCTAGCATTAGAATTTTTATTCTTAAATTTTTTGATCAAACAAACTGAAATGAAGACAAATGTATCTCAGAGATTCCTCTGTGGGTTGTTAGGTCATTCCACTTTGTTAGCGTGGATAGAGGCCATGCCAGAACACTCCTGCCAGACTACACCTCAGACTCATAACTGTCCCTGGTCATCTATTTATTTTAAAACAGGGAAGGGAGATGGAAGCTGTTTTTAAACATCTGAAAGGCTGTCAGGCCAAAGAGGGAGAAGAAATATTTTATATATTCCAGAGGACAGAAGAAGGAACCATCAAATCCAAAGGGAGGGAGTTCTGCTCTGAATACCACCTTACATGGCAGTGGGCTGGGGACCACTGGCTCAAGAGGGTGGAGGGACTAGAACCATCTGACCTCCTCAGGACGGCTGCTGCTAAGATTCTGAGCCCATAATAACAAGAAAGTAATTGGATCTTCTCACTGGGTTTGTTCTCTTCTTTTTGCCCTGTTTCCTCTCCTCTCCTTTATTTTCCTCCCCCTTGACTTCACATCCAAGTAAAACTTTCTGGCTAAGAACCTCTTCCATTATTTAGTTTCAATATAGTTAAGACTCAGGTAGCTATGAGACACTCACTTCTTCCCTTTTAGACAAATTTTCAATTCCATATAATTATCTTCCGTTATTACATAAATTTCTTTAGAAAAATAATTCCAATAAAAAGCTTTAGCATATTTCCTGTTTCTGCCTAGTCTTTAATTCCTTCACAAAACAGAGCAAAAGTCAATCAATCAATCAATCAATTTGCAAGACAGTTAAAAGTTACGGTAAGTGGGTACCTTACCTTACCTTAATTGCTCACTTTCTTTGTAGTCATCCCTAAAACTGACATATTTCCCTCATTTATGAAAGTCATTTTTTCCTTTCATATGCACATTTTAATCTTAGAAACAAAATATGTTTTACAGAACTTTAATATATATTTATAATACTTTCATTGGTCTCTCTTCAATAAATTTCTTATACTTGTTGCAATAAAATATGGAAAACTTTAGAAGTATAAGCCCAGTGGTGACTAAATGAGATACAGAAACAATGACAGCATTAAATCACTAGAACTGATCCTTTTTGTAGTTTCTAATCCCTTGAAGTATTGCTGTAACTTTCTCAAATCATGCAGGTCTGACAAATGGAATAATGGAAGCTATTATTTTTCCAGTAATAACTATTAGTTGAATTATCAAGAATATTATTGATTTACAGAAGAAAATATCAAGTAGTAGTCATGACTTGGTCTTCAAATTTTGATCAGTTATAAAGTTCCAGAGAGTTCATGTTCCAGAAATCTATCTGCCCTCACCCAGGTGTCTTACATACACACATATTCCTCAAACCCTGGAGCTACATAGTGCCATACTCCACTGTAGGCATTTTTAATTTGGGAACTTCTCTCAGAGGACCTGATCCCTTCATTCAGCTCCACATTTTGTGAAGTGACTATACAACTCCTGGTTCCAGGCAGACCAAGTTATGGATGAAAATGTCACTCTGCTCAATCCTCCACCTAAGTCCATGGATAACCTTCCCTTTCCTTGGACACCTAGGGTTGTACTGCCAACAGTCTTTGCAGGGATTTGGACTCAAAGAAGGATTCTATTGTAAATTTACTCAAGCCAATACCTTCTTTCAACAAATACCCAAGGCTTTTGGTAAACATCAGTGGCCTCTGGGGATTAGAGGTAAATGAGTCTTCTGGGGCTTGCCCATATCTTCTTCAGTAGGTAGTAGGCTAAGATGTAAATCAGTCTGAAGCCAAATTCTGCCAATATTCAAATATTTGCAAGCAAGCAGACACAACTTCAGTCAACCTTACCTGGAAAGTTCAAGAAAGTTCCACACTCTGTCTTCAGAAACACCCACAAGCATTTGACACGAGAGGCTCACTCCAGGGACGTACTGTGATGTTTAACGGTTGGAACAGGCAACATTCAGGCAATTGGCATCTGTGAAGTGTGAAACACAGGGCCAAATGAGCTCTACACCTAAGGGCTTCTTCAAAGGCACTGGGCTGAACTTGACAGATTCCCATAAGTTTTCATGCAAAGATGCTTGGACTTAAACTGCACTCATTTCATTAATTAAAAATTATTTTTACATCTCTTATGCTAAGTAACAAATCATCATGTGCAAATCTCCATAGAAATACTTAAAGGGCTTGGTAATCATGCCTGGAGTGTATATTCCTGATCAAGATACTTCAAATGCTAACTAACTGTTGCAAGGATAAAAATGAAAAATTAATTTTATTCACACATCATACTATTTATCTTGAAGTATTTTTAAGGCAGAAATTTACAAAGGTGATATAATAATCTCAGTCCCAACTAACTAACAATAACTGTAGCATTTTATATGTTTTCATGACTGCTCATTGAATAGCCATTAACATGATGATTGAAAAATCTCAAGGCAAGGTTGATATGAGACAAAATGAAGTCACATATCTACTTCCTCTATACCCCACCTTAAACTCAGGGTTCAAAATTTAGTGACAAAAACAGCATCCCCTCTAAAGTTGCCTCCATAGTTATTTACCACCACAATCTTCCCATTTGTTCTGGCCAGGGATTGAGATTCATCTCTACTCAAACTCCTTAATCAAACAAGCATGTCCATTTAGTGACTGTAATGAGTTAATTAGTGGCCTCAGCGGGAAAAAAAAAAAAAGTCCACCTCCTATTCACAAATCTGCTAATGTGACCTCACTTGGGAAAAGAGCCCTTGCAAATATAATTGAGGATTTCCAGATAAGACCATCTCAGATTATCTGAATGGTCTGTAAATCCCATGACAATGTATATATAAGAAAAAGGCAGAGGGAAATTTTACCTAGAAGATAGAGGAGGAGTCCACATGAAGACATGGGCAAAGGCTGGAGTTATTCAGTCACAAAGCAAGGAACACTTGGAAGGAAGCTGAAGAGGCAAGGATTCTCATCTGGGATTTTTGGAGGGAGCATGGCTTTGCAAACACCTTGATTTTAAACATCTAGCCTCTAGAACTATGAAAGAACAAACTCCGGTTGTTTTAAGTCAAGTTTGTATTTGTTATGGCAGCCTTATAAAACTAATACTGACCCCACATCCTCTTAACTAGCTTGGTAATGTGTATGAATCCACCCCTTTATCTCTATCTTGTGCCACTGACCTAACCCAGACTGCCATTAATTTTCACACATATTTTGATTTATAGAAAAAGAATTTGGCAGGTATTGGCAAAGTCAACCTTCTATTACAAGTTTTACTGGTGTCTGGTTGTACACATTTAAAGCTTTGGGCCCAGTGTCTTCCCAAACTGAGCACTTTTGGAAATGGAAAAATGATTATATACCTGATTATCATCATCAAATAACTTTCATAACACACCTCACAGTGAGTTACACAAGGCAGCAGAAACAGACACAGTCTAATTTCACCTGAGTGCAAGGAACGGCAGATATTTCTCCTCTATCAAAAGAAGAAAGAAGACAAATTGCTTCCTTTTTGCCACATCTTTCTGATATTGCAGCAGTGTGCTGGAAAACAGACCTCTCATGAATCTGAACATTCCTCCCTTCTCTTGGGCTCAGGAAAAGCTATGGCAGGAAAAGAACGCCAGTGCTTAGTGGGATTAACCAGATTAAACCTGAGCTGACTGATTGGAAAGAGGCTTCAACACATGCTTCAGGGCAGGAACAGCAGTGATTCCAGCTGTAAGGCCGATAAACAGTAGCTCTGCACCTGCAGGACGATTTCTGAATTATTCTGAATTTAAAGACAGCAAAAAATATTCTCCCTCCGCTAAGGTGGGTGCCCAAGGGCAGATGTCTGAGCAACTGTACCACTCTACTAAGTCTAGGGGTCAAGTCTCCTTGGGCTGATGGGGTTATTGATTCCCAGGACATTGGCTTCAGGCAAACTACCTACTTTCAGGAACTGAAATTTATTATAGAGTGAATACTGCAGTATGTTTTCCCACTGGCTTAATGCAATTTCAATAGTCCTTTCCTCTAATGTAGGAACTTAACAAATATCATTTCAGTGTGTTACTAATTACTGATTATAGGCAACAATGCCAAGAATGAACTCCTTAAACCTTCCCCAAGCATTAGAACACTTCTGAATTTGTCTTGACAGCTGTTTACTCGTTTATAGATTCCAGCACTTCATCTCTTATTTCTCAATATGATACATCTCCACCCCAACGCTATAATAATAAAACTAAAAACATTGCAGCAGATCAAATTTGGAGGGAGGCGGTGAGAAAATGTGGAGGAACTTTCCACTTGAAGCCACTTCTGTTAATGTCTATCATAGCTTCTCATTACCCGAGAACTGAAATCACAGAGAGCATTTCTGTCATAACACATGTAAGAAATAACAAACTGGATTGTAAAAAGACACTTTTCACTGTATTTATTTTGAGTTAGATATAGAAATAAGCCATCAAAGAACATACATAGGTGTGTAAACACAGATATACATTTTGGCAAAATAAAATTGTATTGTCATAGAAGTGTGACCATAAAGTAACAAGATTAATTTCCTTGTTGAACTTGTGGGAATCATTTGTCATTCTGTAAATGTGTATATTCTATACTTGTGTTTCAAATATAGCAACATTTAAATAGCTAGCCTCACAAGTACATTGGAGTCCCTTCTCAATTTAACACCCACCCAGTTAGCTTTATGACTCTCATAAATGCTTCAAAGACTTAAGCTCCATCTTTATAATGGACATGTAGATGCATTAGGTAGACACACAGCAGTAGGACACAACACCTAGAAGCTCTCTAATCCAGTAGGCTCTACCACTCTCTATTCTGGTGATCCAGGTTCAATTAGCCTAGAAAAGTCCTAATGTCAATAGGAAAAGTTGAAAAGTTTCCATCACCTACATGCCTCATGTGTGCGTGTCTTGACATTCCTTTAACTACCATTTATGGACCAGGCACTTTATAGATATTATCCCTAACCCCTACAACCACTCACAAGTGTGTATATTATTATCATCATTACCGTTTTACAGATGAGGAAATAGGCTCATAAAGGTTAAATGACTTGCCTAGAGGCTCACAAGCACTAAGTAGATGAACACAGATTCAAACTTCTAATTACCAATCTTCTGTCTCATTACCAAGTATTGTAACTCAAAGACAAAACCCTTCATGCCACAATTAATGTGAAATGTAAATGTAGATTGCACAGGCTACTTAAGAGTCTGTGCAATTCACTGTTAGGATCTACTAAGGAGAGCAGCGGAATGCCCATCCCTGATAAAGGGGAATCTGGAAGGCCTTTCAGTGCACTTTCTTCTCATACCCCAAGGAAGCTTTGGAGTTCTCAATTCCTTGTCTAATTTTATCTCATCAACTGAGGCAAGGCTTGCTTCTTCTCTAGATCTTCAAGGGCGGCAAGCACATTTGGATTACTTGATTCCTCATGAAAGCATTGTTGGGAAATGCCACACTGTCAAAGAGGAATGATGTTTTTTCGACAGCTTGAGTTGGACCCATGATCCTCTTTTCTTTCATCTGATATGTTATGTTTGCTCTTTGCAATCTTAATATCTATGCTTAGCTAGCTCTCTGTACCATAGAGCATGCTCAGCCACCATGTAGCAGTTGGGGTTCAGTCTTTTCTATTTGGAGGAAGACAACCTCAGGGGAAAATATACAAACTTGGGCTTCTTAACTTCTTCACCAAATTCCCAAGGAAAAGAGATGGGGAAGAATATTAACCAGAATAACTTTTTTTTTTTGTCATTGTTATTCCTAAAGGTCAAAGTTTCTTCCACTCTGGTTAAATTTTCAGTATCTTTGCCTATTCTGCTTAGCCCCATGTATGTCAAAATTTTTGAGAAGGTCACTGTGAGAAAGTGCTGACTCACAAAATGAAAGACTAGAAGGCAGTAAGTGGCAGCACCTATAGGCAAGATTTATTAAAGTACAACAGAGTCTAGAAACTTCTCTGGGGGAACTTGGTTCTTTGTTGTTGCAGTAAAATAATTTATCATACCATGGTTGCTTCCCTTTGTGGCTTCTCATATTTGTAACTTAACAGTAACAAAGAGAGAGATGAAAAGAGACAAAAGGAAGGAACGAAGGAAGGAATGGAGGGAGGGAGGGAGAGAGGGAAGAAATGAAGGCCAGAGAGAGGGAGGGAGAGGAAGGGGTAACAGGCTTAAAGGAAAGGATTTGCTATCAGTGCCCCCTTCTGGAAACACATTAGAGTAGCTCAGAATCCCAGAGCTGGGGCATTCCCTTTTCATTAGGAGACAAAACAATCTATGTTACCAGACAGTCAGGCTCCCATGTGTCTGGTGTTATTGGTATTGACATGATGTAGTGAAAGAAACCCTGAGCTTAGGGATCAAGAACTGTAGATTTAAGCCCATCCTTTGCTCTGAAATGTCTATGACCCTGAACAAATAATTCAAATTATTTGTTTCAGTATCCTAAGTGTCATAGATCTCACATTTGGATTAGAATTACCAGAGGCTGTTGTTAAAAGGGCAGAATTCCAGGGTTCATCCCATCACTAGATTCAAATGGCAGGATGAGGTATGAATCAGAATTTTAAATAATCTCCAAGGAAAACCTTAAATAGTATTCTAGTTTCAGTTATCTGTGTATAAATAATATTCTTAGGTGAGTGAACTATAAGTTCCTGGTGACCTTAATACCATGATTTTATAAAACTAAGGAAAGATTGGTCAACAGGCCAATAAACTATGGTATGCCCACACACTAGATTACTCCTCAATAATACAAAGAAGGAATCATTGGTGCCTGCCATAACCTGAACAAATCTGAAAATATATATGCTGCAAGAAAGAAACAAGACCAAAAAAAAAAAAAAAAGACTATTTTATTTACATAAAACCCTATAAAATAAAAAGTTATCTATATTCATGGAATGTAGATCAATGGTTTTCTGGGGATAGAGGCAAAAATAGGGAAAGC